GGGGGGGGGGGGGGAGGGGAGAGGTTGGCAAGCCTGGACTCAGCCTTTGGGGCCCTTTGCCAGTTTTTTGAAGGTGGGGGTGCACAGGTCGGGAGTGAGGGTGATCCAGGAAGGAGGGTGGGTATGAGGGCAGAATATTTCATTTGGTTTTGGTTTTAATAAAAGAGCAACATTCACATATTAATTTTCCCAGAGGAAGGCAGGCACCTGTGGGACATGGGCCATTGCAGAACAGGGGCAATTAGCTAAATGAGGCCTCCAAGGAGACAAGGACACGTGTTCCAGAGGGATCCATCCCGGGCACTAATGGGCACCCAGCTCCCCGGAGACAGTTCAATACTTGGCCTTTTACCCAGTAACCTGCGCCCCGCTTTCTTTCAGAGAATTTGTACGTGACCTTTGTGACTTAGCCACGTCTCACTTTAGCCAGATGTCACCGTGCCCGTGGCCAGGTCTCTGTCTCATTCATTTTGGAATCATCCCCAGCCTGGAGCAGCTGACCAGGGACGGCTGAATAAAATATTTTCTGACTTGAAATAAAATGTTTGAAATGGAAAGTCAAGACTTTTTAGCCAAAAGGCGTTTGTGATCAAGGAGACAATTGGACAAATACATTTTCTTGGTGCCAGTTTTGCACAGCGGGGTAAGGAGGGCTTAGGAGAGTTTGGGGGTGGAGTAGACGGTTGGTGTCCTTGTCACGCAGGGCTGAGGGGATATGGGGAAAGGAGGTCTGCTCATGAGCCAGAACTGGGACAACCCACCCCAGCACGGGCACAGGTCTTTACAGCTTACACAGTGAGGTCGTAGGCATTGTCTCATGTGGTCGTTACAAGCCCCATGAGGCAGACAGGGGTGGGTGCCCATTTTACAGACAAGCTGAGACCAGAGCAGGGCATTGGCTGTGGAAGACCTCATAGTGTGTTAGCAGCCTGTACCCGCTGCCTCTGACTGCAGCATCCCAGCCCCTCTCCATCCCAGGATGAACTCCGGCAGGAGCTCCTGTTCACAAGCTGACTGCTGGAAGGACTCGGGTCCCGAACAGGAGTAGAAGTTGTGAAAGATGAAAGCAGAGTTTGTGGGTCATCAAGAGAAGACATTCACCGGAAGGTTTCTTGGAGCTCGAGGTTTGACCAGCCCTGCTGGACATCAAAACATAACTCAAAACCACATCAATGAGGCCATGGTGGGGGCTGTGGGTCCAGGCCTCAGGCCTCAGGCCTCAGGGACCATCACGTGGTTGCAGGCAGGATCAACATGCCGCTCCGCTGGGCCTGTCCTCGCGTGCTGGCAGCCACAGCCACTGAGTCCACAGGTTCTGCATTCTCCTCAGTTTCCCCGCTTCCCTGGGCCTGCCCGCTGCTCAGCCCACCCGTCTCCTTGTGGGCACCTCAGACACTCTCGGATGCTCCTCCTGTGCTCTCTTTGATGTAAGCACAAGGATGGACTTAAGACCTCTGCCATAGGATCCTCCAAACTTGTCTGAAACCCCATCATAGTCCTCCCTGGGACTCAGCTTAGGGGCTAGGGCATGAGCCCCTCTTGGGGACAGAGACAGTGACAAAGTTGTGGTCAATCCTCTTGGATTCCTCTCCTCCTGCCCACAGCTTGAACCTGGTCCCTTCATGGAGCCCAGGCTCTGACACCATTGTGAATTGTCTTTTCCATCTACTGTCTATGGATAAGCTCTTTGCCTCTTCTGTTAGCTTTGGCTCCAAATCCTCTGAGCTCTCTGGAATCCAGAATCTTTCCTTTCTCAAGGCCCAGCTCTTGTCGTACAGGCTGCCCTGTAGACGACACTCTGTGCAAGTGTTGTCTGTGCTATCAACGTACAAAAGCCACACAGGAGCTAAAAGCCAAGCCAGGGACCCCATGTAATGCTATTCCCCTGGGAGCGGCGCACCCAGGACACGTGCACAGCGAGGCAGGGCGCGATGCAGAGCGAATTCCGCCCACACACAGTGCAAGAGAAAAATATGACCATAGCCCATACGGTTAAGAAGGGGAACTGAAGCAGCGAGGAAGGCAGGGTTTAGTCAATGCAAGGCGCTGGCATGATCAGTAAGGTTATTCAGAAAAGCAAGGCTGCTTCATTCTTTGCTTCATGTCATACACCAACATCGAGTTCAGATGGATTCAAGATTTAAATTAAAAATCACACTTCAATAAAGTCGAAGCTAATATTCTTCCAAAACCCTGGATGAGCACCTTCTGAGCTTAAAAGCAAAGGAAGCATTCACAAAGGAAAGAAGAAGAAAACAGGTTTTAAATTTTAGACGTAACTATATGAAAATTGAAAACAGCTTGGAGGACGTCATGCGGAGGGTTAATATCCTTGGTGTTTAAGAATCCGTATAAATTGAGTTTTAAAAATTCAAATCACTGCTGGATAAATGCGAAGGGATAGGAACACTCAATTAACAGAAGATTAATTTTTTATGGCTCATAGGTTGAACCTATTTTCCAATATCTAATTATTTTTTAAAAAGTAAATTAAAACAACAGTGAGATAACACTTTTTTGCCCAGCACAGAATGAAGAAAAAAATGTTAATGAGAATACCCCATGCTGGCTACAGTGTGATGAAACAGACAATGCTGCTGATGAGAATGTAAATTACTATAGCCTTTGACCCCGTAATTACACTCATGGCACTCCGTCAGAAGGAAATAATCTCAAATTGACAAAGATTTATGTACAAAGAGATGTAGTGTGGCCTTGTTTATAACAACAAAAAAATTGAAACAACCAAAATAACCAACTATAGGGAAAATGTTAAGCAAATTATTTTACATCCGCTCAAATGGATTGCTCATCAACTGATTGTGATCTTTAGAAAAAGCTCTAGGAAATTCTTATGGCGTAAAAGTGGAACAGCAAGTGAGAAATCAGGGCACAAATTGTATGCCAGATATTATCTCAGCTATGGAAACAAACACACACAAAAAGCATTTTAAAAAGACTGAGAGGAAATTTGCTGGGACCTTGAACCTAAGGGTGGGGGACTCGGGACAAGTAAGTTTTGATGGAGGACGGGGAAATAAATGGTTGAGCCTTAGAAGATGCCCGAGTGGGGTCCTTGTTTTCATCTCAAATTCAAAGAACTTTATATCTGGAGGAGAGGGGGAGTGGAGTCTTGCTTCAGCCTGGTCATCCGGTTCAGGCTGACCTGAAGTTCAGAGAAAGGCTTGCCTTGGGCATTGAGCTCAAGACATTGCCATTTGTTCAGTACATGTAGACCAAAGAACGGAGAAGGGCGGTGGGAAATCAGGCTGGCAGCTCCTGCAGGTCCTCTGAGCCATGCTAGGGAGTTTAGGATTTTATCCCAAGGAAAGTGAGGAAGCCTTGAAGGTTTTAAAGATTTTTCTTCTAGATAGATTACAATATTAGCAGGGACTCTCTTCTTTGCAATACCAAAAACCCAACTCAAAGTAACTCAGGCATAAAAATAAAAGTGGAAAATTAGGAGTAAAATCTAAATCTATAAGACTTCTGGAATAAAACCTATGAGAAAACCTTTGTGACCTTGGGTTAAGCAAAGATTTCTTAGATTATGAGACCAAAAGCAAAATCCATAAAAGAATACACTGTTAAGTTGGACTTGATCAAAATTAAAAACTTACGTTCTTTGAAAGACACTGATGAGAGAATGAAAAGACCAACCACACAGTGGGAGAAAATATTTGCAAGTTAGATATCTGACAAAGAGCTCCTATCTAGAATATATACAGAAGTCTCAAAACTCAATTAAAAAAAACCCAAAAACCCAATAAAAAATGAGCAAAAAATTTGAACACACACTTCACCAAAGATATACAGATGGCAAATAAACACATGAAGAGATGCTCACATCTTTAGTCCTTGGGGAAATACAAATTAAAACCACAATGGGATACCACTGCATACCTGCTGGAATGTCTAAAATTAAAAAGACTGATCACACCAAGTGTTGGTGAGGATGTGGAGCAACTAGAACTCTCGTACTTCATGAGTGGGAATGTAGAATGGTACAAACACTTTGGAAAATAATTTGGCAGTTTCTTAAAAAGTTAAACATACACCTATCATATGATCCAGCCATTCTTCTCCTAGATAATTACCCCAAAGAAATGAAAGCATGTATCCATTCAAAGACTGGTACATGAATGTGCATAGCAGTTTTATCTGTAACAGCCACAAACTGGAAACAGCTTGAATATCTATTGCTGGGTGAAAGCATAAACAAACCGTGGTACACCTACACAATGGCATGCTACTCAGCATTAAAAAGGAATAAACTATCAACACACAACAATGTGGATAAATCTCAAAATAATTAACGCTGAGTGAAAGAAGCCACACAAAGCAAGAATATATACTGTACGGCTCCCTTTGTATAAAATTCTAGGAATTGCAAATTAATGAATATGACAGAAAGCAGGTCAGTGGTTGCCTGGAGAATGAAGGGAGAGGGCCAGGTGGGAAGGGAAGGGAAGAAGAGATCACAAAAGGACACGAAGTCTTTTGGGGTGATGGGTATATGCATTATCTTGACTGCTGGTGGTCTCACTGGTGTATACATATGTCAAAACTTACCAAACTGTATACTTTCAATATGTGCCATTTATTTGTATGTCACTTATACATCAATAATTTAAATAGACAAATAACAAAATAGGAATTATATTGGTGCAACTGGGTATCAGGGATTTTTCCCTCATCTCTCATCTCTACATTCAGTTTCCCAGGAACCCAGAGGAACCCCTGCCCTTCCTTGAGCCAAAACATTCCTCTTCTGCCTAAGCTCTTTCAAATTTGGTTTCTGTTGCTTACAACCAAAAACGTCTGGTTAGTGTGGAGATAACGCCTGGAGTTATAGTCACACAAGAAGAGGACCATAACCTGTGATTGGGGACCCAGAATTGGTGGGGACACAGGGCGGGGTGGTCAGGAAAAAGATTCGTGGAGAACATGACACTTCATGTGATTTCTCAGGGAGTCAGGACCAGAGTAGAAGAGACTGCAAAGGTCCCGAGGCAGAGGGAGCAGCGTGCACAAAGACATGGGGGATAGGGGCCATGAAGTGTGCGCTAGGAGGCAGCTGGGTATCCCTGGAGTCTCGGATGAGACAGGGACTGAATGGAAATGAGGCTGGAGGTCAGCAGGGAGCAGTTTGTGCCATGTTCAAGAGCTCGAACTTAATCCAGTGGGCAACAGGGAGTTGTGCAAGAGTTTCGAGCAGACAAGTGCCACGGGCGCATCTCTGTTTTATGGAGATCTTGCTGGCACTTGAAGCAGCAGGTAGACCAGGGAGGGGTCATTGCCACAGTTCAGAGTTGACTTTGAGGGGCCTGTGGACACCTCGGGGAGATGACCAGCAGGGAGTCAGGGCTAGAAGTCTGGTCCTCAGCTGGAGACACAGAACTGGGGTGGTCACGGTGTCACTGGCTGTTGCTCGGGAAGACTGACAAGTAGAGAGAGCCCCACCAGAGTCTAAGGACCTCCAACCCGCCATTTCAGGGGCTGGCAGAGCCCGGGGCACCTACAAA